TGATATGTATGTGGTCGCAGTGTATGGCTGTTTCCCTGGCAGCTTGGTTCCCAGAGCAGCTCCCTGCTGCTCTGATTCGAAGGAGATTGCTGTCTTTGCTGAGTCTTGCAAACTGTGACCAGACACTGAGACAGGAAGTGAGGCACAGGAAGGGGTGGAGGATATGACTCTTCAGAGTCTGTTTCAGATCAGGAATAGCAAACTGGCTTTTACCTTTTTTAACTCCACCCCCTGCTCTGCCATGATGGGCCAGTGCAGCCCATCTGTGCCTTTGCATGTGCCTCTCCTAAAAAAAAAAAAAAAAAAAAAAGAAAAAGCTATCACTACATCAGGCACTAGCAAGGTGTGGTCTGCTGCCTGCTCAGGGTCGTTTCTGGTAGTATGTACCTGCTGATTTTGCTCAGAGCACAGGATATTTCACGACTGGGAAAGGAGTGGGCAGTGCTTTGGCTATAACCAAAGCATGACGTTTAGCTGGCAGACAAGTATGGCCTGAAGAAAAGCCTCAAGGCTGAACTTACCTGTGTACAGACAGCGCCTGTGCCTTGCCAAGGCCATAACAAGTGCCTAATTGCTATGAGACAGGCCAAGAAAGCGGGTAGACAAGGCAGCAGAATACGGGGCTCACCCTTCCTGTAATATTTCATTGTATGTCTCCTTTCTGCCTTCCAGACAATTCCTGGTCTTGGATTCCAAAATTTTGTAACTTAAAGGAGTTCAGGAAACGTCACCACAGGCAGTACGAGGAGGCGACTGGGAACATGGTGCACATCAAACAGAAGCTGTACCATAATGGGCACCCTAGCCCCCGGCACCTCTGAGGAATGCCTTCCCCTCCAGAGACTACACTGAGATTTTAAAAAGGACTTTGCTCTTCTTCCAGGGGAACAGCTGTGATTTGCTCCTCTGTGGAAGCCAGTGGAGGACACAATTTTATTTATCCATCCTGTGTGTCCCTGTGGCACACCATGATGCACAACTAAGCCAATCCTGGATGCTACGCAGCCAAGACATTGCACTGTGTTCCACATTTTGTCAGACTTGTGTATATATATATGTAAAAAGCAAGCAAGCAAACAAACAAAACAAAAAAGAGAAGAGAGATTTGAATTATACTTTCAAACCCTTTTTTGTGGCATTCATGGCTGTCCTGCACATCCAGCTACTCTCCGGGAATCTTGCCCAAGGGTGCAGAGGTGGGACCACGTGCAGAAGATGTAGTGTTCCTCACCTGAAAGCTAGAAGCCTCCTATTTCTTTGGTCCTTTGGTTTGGTTTTGCTCTGCTCTGTTCCCTCCGTTGTTAGGATGGCTTGACTGGTCACAGTTTGGATGGAAAATCCTGTCAGCCTGTTGTGAAAGCACGGTATCCCTTTTGCTTTGGTCTGTGTTTTTGGGAGCCACAGTGGGGGAATGAAGTCCTGGAAATAAATAAGTCCTGATTTGTTCTTTGCGTTGCTATACACTGAAACCTGCCTTAAGTGAAAGAACAAATCTCAGTACCAGGGGTACTGTTGTACCACAAGGTATTAGCCCATTTACCAGAGCTAGTGCTGCCTGGTTTACACCACTTTTATGTCGGTGGTACCTCACACTACTATTCTTCACTATTACTAAAGAGGCTGATCCATTAGCTTCAGTGGAGTTGTTCCTGATATCTAGGGAGAAGCACACTGAGCCAAGAGGGGTTAGATCTGACTTGTACCCTGATGATACCCCTCTGCTGCACAAGCACTGCCCACGGCTCCCTTAGGAGGAACGGAACTGCTCTTCCCCTTCTTAGAGAGTGAGCCTGAGGCCCTGGCTAATACCTCCCCAGAAACCCTGCCAGCTCAATGAGCGGGTCCTGTTAACAGTCTCATGCTTCCTGCATTTCAACAGTCACCTCTCTCCTTGTATTACTTCTCTGAGCTCAAAGAGCACCTCAGTAGCCAGCTGGGCTTGGCTTGAGGGACACAGAGAGACTGGGGGGCCTGAAGCCAAACCCACCTCCAGAGTCAAATGTTCCAATAATGGGTAGAACTGAAGCACGAGGATGTTCTAACGAGGTTTAGCCTTGGCTTTCCGTGGTTGCAGCTTAGGTGCAGGTTTCAGTGTAGCCATTGAGTGTCTCGAAATCAACCTCCACATCCAGAGATGTCCTTAACTTCTTGTCAGAGTTGCCTGAAGCAGTATTGCTTGATGAAGCCCTTGTGCCTCTGACCAATCTGTGAAGTGGTATCTGATCCCTGTAACCATCCTGTTCTGGTGGGGAAATGCAGCAAATACACTCAGATTACATTGCTTTGGCACATGCTGGGCAGCAGTAGCCCTGCCAGTTGCAGTGGGAAGAGAGAGGTGGTTGGGTTTTTTTTGTTTTTGTTTTTTTTTTAAATTCAGAGAAGAGTAAGGGAGGGGGAGTCTAGCCTCAAGAATGTAAGGAGGTAGCCCTCAAATTTTTCCTTCATTCCTCATTTTGTGTTGGGTGGGCTTGTGCTTAAATGGGGAAAACATCCAAACCAAATGGATAATGAACATTACCAGAAATGGACTATTCCCTTCTATGAGTTCCTTGACTCTGTCAGTAGCTGCCTATTGTTTGAGTGCAATGTCTGCGTAGGGAAAAGGACACCATAACACCCTCCTTCACCTCCTTTCCTCCCTTCCCTAGCTTGTGTCGTGTGTTTCATTATTTGTTTCTTATGCCCAGGATCAGTTCAGTTATATATAACCCCCAAAGCTGACCAAGCATACTTGTTCTTTGCCATTCGTACCTTTGTTATTCCATAGTGCCTCTTGTCTTGGCGCCTAAGTTGCTGTCTGAGTCTAAATAATTGCTCAGTCTATACTTGTGTCTGTCTGCTTCAATGTCTGTCATTCAGGGCTTCCTATGGTTGTACTATCTGCAACCACCTTTTAGCATCTAAAGAATGACTTTTTCTTTAGCAGCTCTTTTCCAAGACACAAGGCTTTGCAACCTCCCTCACTGTATGAGCTTTGTGCATATGGACTCATCCTTGACTGGCATAAGACACTCACTTCAGTGGAGTGCTACTCATTCAGTGCCAGATAAAGATCTGTTGCATTTGCTTTTGTGTGATGGCACATGCTTAGCTGACAGAGACGAATAGGTGCTGCATTATAAAACAGGTGCATGTCATGGACTTGTCTTCAGCTCTGAGTTGGAGATGGCACAACTTTTTGCAGGGGAGAAAATTCAATCATGCTTAGGGTAAATACCGAGTCTTTGGAATCAGCTGGGGAGGAGGGGGAAGGGGGGAAGCACTTTAAATAATCTTTCCACTTCATGCCTCTCACAGAAGAGAATTAAGGTGGTGATCTAAACTCAGACTGAATTGAAAGACTGGCTCTGCCCTGCTCTAGCAAACGACCTTAGCTAAAATATCATCAAATGTTAAACTTACAGTTGTAAGAGTGACATGATGGTGCACACTGATCAAGTCCACATCCAAATTTCAGGAAAAGGTTATGAGGCTCTGGAAGAAAGAGAGAAAAAAAAAAATCCTTCATAGTGCGTATTCCCATGGTTTAAGCAGCAGGATTTTTTTGTTTTAATCTGCTGTGACTGCAGCTATAACTCTGTGAGCCTGTCTCTTGCTTACACTTAGACAAAAAAAATAAAACCAATAATGAGTTCAGTGCAATTAAAATTACTGGGAGTGATTCACTAGTCTCAAATCCATGGAGACCAGAAGTACCCTCATACTTCTGGGCAGGGTTGTCCCAGGACACATTAAATCAATGGAACTGGGGAACTGACTAGGCCTTTGGTTCTCATCTTTAATACACGAGGGTCAAAAATTCCTTCCCATGCAGTAAGGCCAGACTCTATTTCTGATCCAAGAGATTTTGTTCATCTTCTGTGCAAGGGTGATTTCAAGAAGCCAGCGCAATAGAGACACAAGGTCAGCTTGTTGCTTCTTTTTTCTCTGAATCGAGGAAGCAGCTGTAGATTTGATCCTATGTAACAGGGATCAGAATATGGCCCATTGCTGGGACTAGAGAACATTTCATGCTGAATAAGGCTGCAGTGTGGGAACTCACTGCACAGGAGCAGCCCTAGTCCTATGTGCCATTTAACCTTGGCGTTACACAAAGGAGGACTGTAGTTTGCAACACAAGAGAAGCAGAAGGTAAAAGAGGCAACTGTTTTGAATATGCAAGACCCTGGTATCAGCAAGGTATAGCTCCAAGCAGTACGCACTCTTTCTTGGCCTAAGATCAGCACTCTTGTCCCCATCCCATCCCCCTCATCTGACTCCTTCAGATGTGAGCCTTACCAGCAAGGTATGACTTTGTGCTGTCTCATTCCTCTGTCCAAATGAGTTTGCTACTGTTACTTGCAGCTCAGTTACCTGTGAAGTCTGCTGTTGTGCTGTCCTCTTTTCCTGTAGATGTGCTCATTTTACTTTTGCCTGGATATGTGTGTGTGTGTGTGGGGGGGGTGTTTTCTCCTTGTTAAATTGTCTGAGATGTACCAGTATTGACTTGGTTGTTGTTGTCTTGCCTCTGATCCAGGCTTCATGAAAAAATCAAACAAACCCCAGACCAAAACAACAACAACAACAACAAACTGAAAACCCAACAAAACCCCCAACCTAAAAGAGTTCAGCTAGAGACAAGTGACTTTGGCATCAGGGAGCTGGCACAACAAGGTCAAGGCTAGGGAGGTGCTGGAGAGGACCTGTGGAAGAAAAAAATGTGGGATGCAAAGCTTACAGCTGGCAGCTGCACCTGCAATGGCAGGTCTATAGGGACAAAGGAGTGGGAAGCGTGCACCATGGCTTAGCACTTATCTGCCAGATGCTTTGAGGGAGGCTTCTGCAGAATTAGATAGTGGGGGGAATTTTTTGCAGCCTCAGAAGTGGCTATTTTTAGAGCAGAGACAGAGCTTAAAGCTCTGTGTGCTCATTCTCCAGAGCTGCGACTGGTGCCGGAAACATTCTCCTGCAGTTTTGGTGTGATATGCCCAGGTCTGGCTGCCTGCATGCAGAATGGGCGCATGCTGGTGACTGGGATTTGTTGCAAAGGATAGGTGTGGAAAGACAAGTGGAGGAAAGCACAGGCTGGTGAAATGCAGCAAGTAGTTCCTTTTTTAAATGCAAGCAGCCTCTTCCCAGCACTGCCCCTCAGTGAGATCCTTGCAGAGAGTGTAAATTTAAACCCATTCTGTGCCCATCCTCTTCCTGTTCTTATCGCATTCTTTCTTTCTACAAGAGCCATACATTAAAGAACAGGCCTGTGAAGACATTCACCTCCTCCACTTTGCTTCAAGTCTGGCATCAACTGTTCCATCACATTCAGTGGCACCACATCCAGTTTCTCCCTGCTGACAGGATAGGAGTACAGAAGGAAGGAGTAGCAGTGGGCCAAATTCACTGTAGGCATACGAGGTGCTGTACCAGGGAGGGGCTAGTAGAGCTGCACATCACTTCAGGAACGTTAGGGGAAGAAAAGAGCCCAAAGCCACTACACATGGGATTTGAGGTGTAGCCCACAGAAGATCCAGGTGCCATGTATGCCTTCTTTGGCCTGATGGCCTGGAACAATGCATAATACTCTCTCCAACTTAAGAGACAGTTTGGGAAGGTGGCTCCTGTAATATCAGCTGTCGATCTACTGTGCCTCTTACTGATCAGCTGGTCCTTGAGCCAGCCAGGGACCATGGGGATCATGTCTCCTGGCCATCCTGGCTGAAGTCTCTGGCAATATCTATCAATGAATTGTAAAAAGCCAGACCAGAGCCAAATGCCACGGTGCATATCCCAGGCATTCCCACCATGGTGGAGTGGTTTTAGTTACTCTCACTGCTATTCTCTGCCTCATTTTTCAGTTGCGCTCAGCTGGGAGAAGACAATCCCTTGCAAATGGCATCAGGGGAGCTGATGTCCAGTGGCTTCTCAGTAGACTGAAAGCTGATAACTTTGAGACTGCAGGAAACATTGCAAGTTCAAATATCAAAAACCTTTGCTTACTCTGGACAAGGTCTAGAAGAGCCCAACTGGGAGAAAACCCTCAGGGAATCAGCCAAGAGAGTCCTGATCCAAGGTCACTCCCCAGCTTAGTAGAAAGCACAGTGGCAAGGGAACATTTCACATGCACTGGCTCCCCGGGAAAAGGGAGCGCAACACTCACCATTTAGCTGTCCTTATGTGAAGGCGAGAGGTCTGCAGAAGTGCTAAATGACATGGGGAGCCAAAGTCTCATGCCAAACTTCACTTTGAGCCAGCTTCACAGCAGCAATTTAAATTCAGTGCAGCACTGATGAGGTGGGGGTTGAACATGGAGGAGCTGAAGGCCTCTTCTGCACTAACGGGACTTTGAAGATAGAAACAGCCAGCAGAAACTCCCAAAGCATCTCCCAGTGTGAAAGAACAGAGGTACTTCTATTACTAGAGCATACAGTACCAATAGAAAGACATTCAGCTGAAAGGCTTTGCAGCCTGGG